TTCAAAAAATGGAACTAGGCATTTGCATGATCACCATAAGAGTTGTACTAGGAAAAAAGTGATGGATATGGGCCAAAAAGTGTTAACGAACAATTTTAACGAACTAGGCATTTGCATGCGGAGATGAAAGGTATTATTTCATCTAATCTATATATTATTATTTCACTTTTATTATTTATATTACCATGGAATAATTTCAATACTGAATTTATATTCTTTACTTTTTAGGAAATTCAACATTGAAATCGGTGGGCTATGCAACTATATATGATGATAATGAGATTGACTCGGAAGAGTCATGTGCCACTTTTGTGTTAGTTGTCATCTTTTTTGTTTAAATTGTTAACATTTTTTATATTTTATTATTAGTATTAATTATTTGTTTCTTTCCTTTTGTTATTTAACAGGAATTCAAGTTAAAGGAGATGATAAAAGTAGTTGTGTGGTTTGTATGAGAATTGGAGAAACAATTCATTTGATTTTTTAAGTTGTAATGGAATTTTTTTTTTTTTTTTAAATTTCAATTTTTGGGTAACCTATCCCTTGCGGGTTGTGCTTGGGACTAATTATTCTCTTTGCAACTTGTTGAATTTTCTTGTGTGGGGCTGCTAGACATTTGTTTTGTTGTTTGTGTTATTTTGTTGAATAGGATGCTTTTCTCTCTGCTATGCTAAATGCTGCTGGACAAATTCTTTTGTTTAGAATGCTGCTGGACAGATTCTTTTTTTTTTTGAGAACTGCTGGACAAATTTATTGATTTGTATATATTGATTTGAATAGGACTATTCTGCTAGACAGAGTTATTCATAGATGTTATTTTGTTCTTTACAGATACAAAATATGTTGACAAATATCATATTTGAAATATGTTTGAATTAGATGTTTATAGATTTTTTTAATTTGAAAATGTCACAAATATGTTTGAATAGGATTGTTTGAAGAGTTACAAATATGTTTGAAATATATTTCAGATTTACAAATATGAAAATATGCTAGACAGAGTTTCAAATATGTTTACAGAAAATATGATGGACGGAGCTACAAATATGTTTGAAAATATATTTCAATAGGATTGTTTACAGATCAAAAAAAAAAAAAACACCGGGGATTTTTCGGGATCGGGGAGTGGGGACGGGGGCGAGGCTATGGGTCCCCGTCGGGGATCGGGGGCGGGGACGGGGAATATCTCACTTTCGGGGATCGGGGATGGGAAGTGTGATCCCCGGCCCCGCCCCATCCCGTTGCCATTCTTAATGAAGTAATATATGAAGTAATACAGCTTACAGTCATTTCAAAAATTTCCGATACAAAAATTAGGAAGAAAAATATGGTTATATACGTAACATATCAGAGGAAGATGAAATGATATATCAGCAAGAAAAATCTGAAATGATGAAATGAACCTCATCATTGCCGCAATCTCGCCTTACCGTCGCGTCGTGTTCCTCCATCATCCTCCGTCCTTCGCCGTTGCCGTCTCCTCCCTCCACTATCCTTCGTCATTTGCCATTGCAGTCGCCGTCGCGTCCCTCTACCATCTCTCTCAGTTCGTTTCTTTATGTCTCTCTCTCTCTCTCTCCGCCTTTCTCTCTCTCTTCGTCTAGCATCTCTTTCTTTCGTCTCTGTCTACTTGTTGATGTTAGGTCTAAACAGAACATATCAGAGGAAGATAAAAGTGGAAGAAGCGGGAAAATCAAATTTTGGGAGGGAAAAAAAATCACTAAACAAAATGACGTTGTTTTGGCGAGGGTGGCTAGGAGGGCCGTAAGAAAGGGAGACCAAGGATTCCTACTCAAAAAAATTAGTATGTTTATAATGACTTTTTAGTTTTTTACAAAAAAAAATGTGCAAAAGTAGAGTAAAAAAGAGAATCTAACTTTTTGATATAGATTGTTGACTTTTTAACTTTTTTAGTGATTTCTTAACTTTTAAACTAAAATATTGAGTTGCCAAATAAGGCCTAAGTCAAAAAAATTACTTATTTTGATTTATTTTTATCCTTTGTAAAAAAAAATTAATTTTTTTTTTATTAAAATTATAGGCATTTACACACAAGTCATAATTTATGAACTTATAGGCCATATTTTTTTGGATGAACATGAGTTTGGGATTGGACTAATAGTCCAATAAAATTATTAATCCAATATTTGGTTAAATAATTAAATTACAGACTAACAATCCATCAAGATATAGTATCTCGTATATGATGGACTATTCAATTCCACAGAGGGTGGTGGGATATAAATTGAAGGATTAAGCTAAAATCTGGACTATTAATCCCTCTTTATAATCCTAACTCAATGCAAACATAGGATATCATACATAATCCAAAGGGATTCGTAGGTCTAGGACTATTAGTCATGGAAATGCTAATCTAACATAATCCAGTCTGTCCAAACAAACATTGCTAGGGTTGTGTTTGTTTGGAAGGACTGGATAAAGGAGGATTGGAATCCCATCGGATTGTTAGTCCTAAGATACATTGTCCCTAAACTATTTGGTTGGACTGGATTTGTATCCCATGTTTGTTTAGTCATGAGATTAGATGTCAAGAAAGGATTATTCTGTTGGATAGGATATGAATCCTATGTTTATTTGGGACATTATGGAGAATGATGAATGCTCAAATGACTATTTTACCCTTTTCAATTATTTACTAAGTAATAACATTATTAAACATATATTTAATATTTTAATTATTTTTAGCTAGATTAAATAAAAATTTATTTATTTTTATTTTTTACACAATTAAATAAATTTATTTTAAAAAAATTAAAAAAATAAAATATCAATAAAAATATATGTTATTTTTTAATTAAAATTTTAAATAAATCTATTTTAAATAATAATAATTATTAAATAATGAAATTAAATAAACCATCTATTAAAATTTAAATAATGAAATTAAATAAAATATAAACAAAAATTTAAAATAAAATATCAATAAAATATCTATAAAAAATTATTTTAAATAAATAAAACATCAATAAAAATTAAATAAAATTATTTTATATTTAAATTGAGATATTTAAATTTTATTGAATTTTACTAAATATAATACATGATTAAATAGTAGAGGGTCAAGATGATTATTTCGCCCCTTATTCCATACCTCTCCTTATTCCCCCATTTGTGTCCCACCCCCCTCATGGGACACAATGACCATGTTTGATTGGGAGCTTGAGAGGGTAGATTAGATTATCAATTCGTGGAACCTATCAAACCCTTGTTTGGAAGCAATAAAATATCATAGGATTAGTAGTATAGGCCCCGTTTGTTTGGGGTTATGGGAAGGGGATTGAGTTTGATAGTGAGGAGGAGATTGAGAATGGAGTATTTGTTTTGAGAGATAGGGAGGGGATTAGTAATCCCTTGGTATTAGTAAGGAGGAGGAAGGGGGATTGGTAATGAGAAAGTAGAGATGGTATTAGAAAAATAGTGAGGGGATTAGAAATTTTTTTATTTTTTATATATTGGAATTTTTTTTTAAATATAATGTTTATTTTTTTATACTTTTTTATTTGTTTTATTATTTTATATAAAAATAATTTAACAATTCCTCACTATTAATCCCCTCACTATCAATTCCCTCACTAACAATCTCCTATTAATCCCCTCACTGTCAATCCCCTCTATTCTATCTCCCAAAACAAACGGGGCAATCCTTTCTGTAGAGGGATTAGCTTGGGTGAATTTTAGGTGAAATTAAGAAAATAGTGAGGAAATTGAGTCTATTTTATATCAAAAATTTATTTTTTACCAAGTGCATCTATTTGTTTTAGTTTTTTTTAATATAGAAATAATTTATTTATTTATTTTATATAAAAATAATTTAACAATCTCATCACTAATCATCTCCCACACTATCATCAAAACAAACACACTTTTACTTAATCCCCTCACTAACAATCCACATTAACAATCTTCTCACTAATAATCTCATCCAACCTAATCCGCCAAACAAGCATAGCCAATAATCTTACATATTTGGGACTAATAGTCCGGGGCAAAATTGAACAACCAAACAACGGACTATTAGTCCGGAGGGACTATTAGTCCAATCTCATAGCCTTATCTCTCAAAATAAACACCACCATACTCTATTAAGTCTTAACTAAAAAAAATTTGACCTTCGTGTCCTATTAAATTTTTAATAGTAGAAATTACCCTTCAAATAATAATTGTTCATTATTTATGATTATCTATATAGGAATATGATGATTTGATATTTATTTTGATTTTCAAAACTTTAAAACATTAAGTTTTAAATTGAAAAAATTTTAAAAAATTATGTGCAAAAAAAATTGAAAAAAATTGAATTATTTTTTTTGTGCAAAATTGAAAATTTTGTGTTTATAAAGAAGTATGATGATAAAATATTTATGTGCAAAATTGAAAAAAAAATTAAAAATTTAAAAATAATAATGTTCTCAGTTTTAAAATTGGAAAAAACTGTTAATGTTCTCGGTTTTATTGAATAATTGAATCAAACCAATAAATAGAATGGCAAAAATGTTTAATCTCATGCTCTGTTTTTTTATCAGTTAGTGAAATAATTATCTGAAATATTACTATGTAAAATTAATAATATTTTTAGTTTTAAAAATTGAGAAAAACTGATAATATTCTCAGTTTTACTAAATAAGATTCATTGGTTCAAAAAATCTTAAATAGAATTTGAACTATCATAACATTTAAAAATAAAATTTTTAGGTAATTAACTCAAAAAATTATAATCTTCTTAGTCATGTTGAATCTAAAAACCTAAACTATTTTTTTTAAAAAATTCACTGAAAACGAAAATAAAGAAAAAATAAAGCAAAAAAATACAAAAAAAAATAAATAAAAATCTCCCTCTTCGGTTAATCTTGTTGCAGTTCGTCAAGTTACCAATCAAGACTCGTCGCGTCAGAGAGGTCTCTATCTGCTTACCTGGCGTAATTTAATTGGTCCAACTTGCTAAGCATTGTATCTTACGACGTCGTGTCCTGCGATCTCAGGGCTCCGATCTCATTGCCGTCTTCCTCGTTTTATAATTACACACACAAAAAAAAAGAGAATTAAGTACAGAGATTCGTCTGAGAGAGCGAGAGCGAAAATGGTGAAGATGAGTTTCAGATGTGCGACTTCAATATTGCTTGTGTTGGTTCTTATCTCAATAGGTGATTTTAATTTCTCACTTTTCTTCTTGTTTGTGTGATTTGTGACTGAGCATTCTGTAGAAGAGACTTGTTTTTCTAATTAAATTTTGAAGAATGTTGATTTGGATCCGAGAAAATCGAAATACAATAACTTTCATTTGATTCTCAGTTTCGGCGAAGAAGTCAGGAGATGTTACGGAGTTACAGATCGGTGTAAAGGTAAATTCCCCTATTTTTTGTTTCCTTGTTCTGATTTGCTATAACTTTTAGATTCTGATTGTATGCTGTTTTATTTGACTGGTGTTATTGTGATTCAACTTAGTTTAGCCTCAATAAGATTATGTTAGATTTTCCCCTATTTTCTGTTTTATTTTGTTGAAAACTCCTGCAAGGCAGAAGGGGTTGAGTTCTTTTGAAATTTATGAGGATTTCACACACACTTGATTGGAAATTAGGAAGGGAATTGAGGATTGTGTTCCTGCATAGTGTTAAACTACTTAGATTATGTTTGCTTCATTGGAATCAAGTGAAATAGAATGATCATATTGTCCATCCTCAGTCGCGATTGGTTGACTAAAAAAATTGATAAAGAATATATTGTAAGTAGAATCATCATTGACTTTCATTCTAGTGAACCAAACACGACCTAGAGATATGCCATGGATTGGGTTTGTGATGTATTTACGTTGGCCTATTGCCTTTGTCAATCTCAAGGGAATTCTGTAGATGTTCATACCCTGACCACTAAAATTTAGTGACGATCAATTACCTCTGAAATGCATATGGTCCCGGAAACCTAAATATAGAAGAAAATTTTACTTTTGACTTATAGTGACCACTTATGGTGGAAGAAACTGATACATGTTTGCACGTTTTTGTTTCTGCAGAACTGTTATTTGTTTCTTCAATGCTTCAAGATTCTGTTTCTATTACTAGATATATTGGAGTGATAGTTGAGGGAGACTTCGGCACATTTATAAGCTAAATATATGTGTTACTATTCTTGTTTCAGTCTGTTTCTTGCTTACTTGACTTTTGGATCTTTCTACTGCTCTTGCAGTATAAGCCGAAAACTTGTGACATTCAGGCACACAAAGGTGATAGAGTCAAAGTACATTATCGGGTGAGACATCGCTATTGTTCTGCACGCATGTTTAGACAATCTTTTTAGATTCTGACAATAGCATGTTTTTCAGTTTTTTTGTTTTGTTTTGTTTTGTTTTGTTTTGTTTTGTTTCCAGTTATATCATCAAGTTCTTGATCTCTGAAGCTAATAATCATTTTGGTAAAATGCTTTAGTTCCATAAAGTTGAATTTGAAGAAGTTGCATGTTTACTGAGGGTTGTTGGAGTTGCAGCTACAGTTAAATGTGTTTTAATTTCTTGATAGGTGCCCTATTATTAGAATGATGTATTTTGATCCACAAGACATTGCTTTTTATCTGCTCTCATTATTCAGTGATGATCATATCAGAAAGTATTACCTGCAACAATCATCAGATCTTAAATTCCAAAGGTACTGTTCATTTGGATAAATAAATTTGGTTTGGAATAGTTGAGCCATTTAGTTGGAAGAAATGCCACTCTTTTGTTTAAGGTCCTGTTGACTCTTGTTGTGTTGTAAAATGGAGGGAATAGATAATGTAAGTACTTCTCCTATTTATTGCTATTTCTGGAAGTTGAAATAAGCATATCTTTGTGATTTGTGTCAGTTTTGTTTGTCAAACATATAACTTTGAAGCAGATATGCACTTCCCATAGCCACATTCTTTAGGGGTTGAATATTTCTTCCGGAATTGAATTCCGGAAAATTAACCTACTTGGAAGAGTGTTCATGCTTGCAGAGTTTAGCATCATCTGTACCTAAATGTATGAGCATATTCTTTCAGTTTTCAATTCTTAATTCTGTGAAATCGGAAATAGGATTAGAATTTTATAAGATTTTTTTTAACTAATTGCTTCTTTCTAGACAGGGAGTTGGGGAGGTTAAATTTTATTGCCAAATGCTACCACGTTGTTCTTTTTCTTCTTTCCTCAGTCTTCAGTAGTATGAGTTTCACAAGAAGTAATAAGAAAATTTAACTTGACATTTCAACAGGTTATGCTAGTCCTGATAGTGCAGGTGTAGGATAGTAGTTAACCAAAAAATATCATAGGACAATTACCAGGAAAATTATGTTACACATAGCTTGGATTACCTTATAGTTTGTCCTTTGGTTTTTATTTTCTTGTTGTGAGTTAAAAATAGGAGTTTAATTGTTCCTCTTGAAGATATGTAAGATTCAGACCACCATCTATAAATGCATATGTTTGATTACTAGCCATCTTGCACTATAAAGAATATACATTCAATTCTTCATATGATTTTTGCTGGAAAAAAGATAAACCTTTAACCAATGCTACTTTTCTGATCTACCTGTCATTTTCTTACTAATGATGGTTTCCACTTATATTGGCAGGGTAAACTCACAGATGGATCTGTTTTCGATTCCAGCTTTGAAAGGGGTGACCCAATTGAGTTTGAACTTGGCAGTGGTCAAGTGATTAAAGGTGTATATTTAATGGCCAATTGCTGTTTTTGCAAATGTTCAGCTATTTCCTTTAAACTTGGAAACAAATTGAAAACTGGAGTTAGAAGTAGGTTACAATTTTCAGCCAAATTCTGATGACCCAAATATGAGGTAGTTAAGAAACCTGTTTTTTATGGCATGGATTGGTATGTTTGTCACATTGGTGCATTCTTTCCTTCTTGTGCTTAACTGAAGATAAAACTAGTCTTAGACTTGGGGGAAATTATGTGAAAGATGAGCCCTATGTTTTCTATACGGAAAAAAACCCGGAAACAAGTAGGGTGTTTAGGAAGGAAACTAATCAAGAATAACAACGGAAATAGATTGGACACAAACTATTTTGCTGCCTTATATCTGACACGTGAAAAAAGTCTTCAAACAACTAAAATCTTTTTGAGGCTGCCATATTCCCAAGAGAAAAGATCCTGGTGACCATACATTTGATTCATGCCACAAGCGGGTGCTGCATGACACAAACTTGCATGACACATTTCTAGCTTTTTGGTCACCTTGGGCTTTCTGTGTAAGGAACTCATGTTTGTTATAATTTTTGTTGTTCGTAGATTCTTATATGTATGATGACATTTAAAATGTGCTCTAATTTGTTCTTGGATTGTAGCATTTTCTCCAATAGCATGGCCATAGACAATATGTACTGCAGTCATCGTGAATTTTGCATGACCATATTGAAACATCAATTTCAACCCCTTGAAATAATGTTAAGATATGTAAATCTGCATTGATTGTGAGGCTTTAAAAAAAAAACAAACATAAATAAAGTTGTATGTGAAAAATAATAGGATGCTAAGGTAAATGTTGGACTTCATTCGGCATATTTTTTGTATTTGAAATTATTATTATAGGATGATTAGGTTTATTGTAGTAGTGCATTGTGCTTGTGTTGTTGTAGCGTCAAAGCTAAGAACTGTGTATGTGCATTGGGTTTTAAAACATGCTTACCCTTTAAAGGGTTTCGCATTTTATGGACGATTCCACCGAGTGAAGTTCCAACATCCTAGTGAAATTTATTTTTGTTTGAAAAAATTACTTTCTCACAGGATGGGACCAAGGATTGTTGGGCATGTGCATAGGAGAGAAGCGCAAGTTGAAAATACCTGCAAAACTTGGTTATGGAGAGCAGGGGTCGCCACCCACCATTCCAGGTAATAATTTATCAGTTGTCCTGTTTTTCTTGCAAACCTTTTGTTGGGGTAAGCGTAATCCGTAGATCACAAAAGCATGAAGTTCACTAAATATTTTATCAACTTTATGTATGTTATGGTGCAGACTGAAGAGTGCTGAAATGGGCCATGCCTGCCCATTAGCACCTAAGGTTTCTTTGACTTACAATATTTCTCTGACCATTCACAGGTGGTGCAACACTTGTTTTCGACACCGAGCTTGTTGCAGTGAATGGGAAAACATCTGATGGAGGGAATGCAGATGACAGTGACCTGTAGTCAGGGAAAACTCAAGTCCATGTTGTTTTCCTAGTAGCTGGATTTTGGGTGAGTCGAAGGATTGTTACCTAGTTACTATAGAGTTGACATTCAATTTTATTTTGCTCCCTAAGATATTGGAAGTCTAAGCCTATTTGTAACATGGATGAGGATGTTCTCTTATGTCTGTCTAAGCAATCAGGAGTAGTTTAATTAACTTTTTGGTGGAATAACTGCCTGACTTTTTAAATTGCAATTTATTGAAAATTCACTTTATGGTTACCTTTTTGTTTTGGATAGAATTATTTAACTGAAATGGCTGGTTGTACAAGCGATCGAGACATGTTGAAGAGCAGTGATCAGTTGGATGGTGTCGTGATAAGAGAGTATTTTTATGTTCTGACAAGGGGGGAGCTACTAATTAAGATGGTGTCATTTGCATTTCACAAGACATTATTCATTTAAGAACATTAGAAATATGCCAAAACTGATTCATTACAAGGATTAAGTATGTTGGCAAACTTAAAAGGATATGATTAAATTTTGATTTTCTATAAATCTAAGAAATGCAGACTGGGTTTTCGACTCACCACAAAGTAAATTCTGCTCCCAACCCCATTTTATTTTAGACCCTTTTTGGGAAGTGTCTTTTTAAATATTTTTTATGAAAGAAATGTGCAAAAAACAAGGTGAATGAGAGGAGATTTTGGTTTTTGATTTTTTTTTGGTATGAGTTGAAATTTTTTTAGTGATTTTTAAAAATTATTTTAGCTAAATGTGAAATGATTTTGATCGGAAGTTATGAACCATTCTCTTTGGTTTAATTTATATATTTTTTTGATGAGATTTTTATTGATAAATCTCATTTAAGGGTGTTATAACTCAATAAGTCTTATGTGTTTATATTTTTATTCTATGAGGTCTTTTTTTTTATTTACATGATTTGTTTAACTATTATACTCTTATATTTATTATTGACATACATTACAAACAAAAAGGATATACACATTTCTTTTTTTACTATCCTTCTGTTTTGACAGTTGCCATGATTCATGCTTTTGATTGTGATTCAATTTCACTCTCGTTGTGGTGTTGCTTCGTTGTGCTAGGGTTTCATTAGTGTTGGAGGAAGATGACGAATCAAGATTGCATTGGTGTTGTTTCTTTGTGGTTTGTTTTTTTATATAATTTTGCGAAGTCAAACATTGATCAGAGGGAGAGAACGAGTAGATAATTTCATCTCAAGGTTAATATTATTTTGTTTAGAAATGCATTTATGTTTAGATTTATATAAAGAATTATATGCTCTGTTTTTTGCTTTCAACTTTATTTTTAAGAATAGATGGAGATGCAAGTTTATTTTTGTTGAATGATGTTATGATTTTTGTCTGGTAATACGTTCATATAGGGTTCTATTTTTTTGGATGTTGTGAATGTTCACATTGTTAATGTGAACAATGTTAACGTTCACATATTATTGGTTATATGATTATAGATAAATGTTTGCATATTGTTTATTATCATTATATTTTGTGATGTGAACTTAAACTTGTCTAATCTATAGTGATGTGTAATGATGGCAATAAAATTTTTAGTTTGGGATTAGCAAGTACAAAATATAGATATAGATATATTTTTCCCATGATATGAATGTTCACATATCATTGGTTATTTCATATTTATGATATTATATGGTTATAATGTGGGTGTTTACTTCCTTAATTTTTGTGTTTTTGCACCAGATTGATACCTTCATGTATCAGCGTATGTATTTGTACATTCACATTCATTAAGATTGTTATTGTTATGAATTATCATATTTTAATGTTATGCATTTTATAATATGAATTTCAACGTTAGGACCATGTGATGGTTGCATAATGTGCAATGAAAAATGTTTGGTGGGCTGAATTTTTGTGACTCGAATGGCTTGAATGTGTCAAAACGACGTCGTTTTGGATGTTTCGAGCCATTCGAGCCATGTTTTTTCGGGCCACCTATCATTGTTGAATGTGCAATGTAGAGTAATGATTGCATAGTTATTACATAATGTGAATGTTTACATATCATTGATTATTGTATGAATTTTGCATGATTATTACATGGTGTAAATATTCATATTGTAAGGAGTCATTACTTATTGTGAATTATTACATTATAATGTGTTGCAATTGGTATTGTGACCATTATATTATTAATCCATGTTAATATTCACATTCATAAATAGTTATACAAGCGCAAACAACATTAATGTGTTATTTTACTAACATATATTTGTAATGTGAAAGTTCATGCCAATATTTATTTATCATAACTCATATTAAGCCAATTGTTATGTGTGTACAAATATAAGCAATCACCAACAATATAGATGTTCACAGTGTCTACACTTTGATCGATGTGAATGTTCACAGCATTACTTTTTCATATCGAAATAAGGTAGACGATTTATGATTTTAAGAATATGAGAAATTTTCTCTCTAAAATAAGGGAGAGATTGTTTTTTTCATAGAATAAATGAGAGATTTTCTCCTTAGAATAATGGAGAAATTTTCTCCATGAAATGAGAGACTATTATTATTTTTTTATTATATATTGGTTCCAAAATAGAAACACGCTCAAAAAGTTTAAAAGGGTAATTTGGTCATATTATCTTAAACAAGTCTTAATAAAATATTAAAAAATAAAATGAATTAAATAACAAATAACATTTAAAAATAAAATTTTCTGAAAAATAACCCTTTTTTGATTGGTTTTTTATTTGATATTTGAAGTTATCAATTTTGTTTTCCTCATACATATGACAATATATTGCGATGTCTCCACTATATTTAAAACCATACTCAAATTTTGTTGATCCACGTTTTACCTTCAAAAACAAAAGAATTATATAATTATGTGAGACACCGATAAATATAGTCAAATTTTGTTGATCCACTTTTTACCCTCAAAAACAAAAGAATTATATAATTATGTGAGACACCGATAAATATATCACAACATATTGTGAATATTTTAATTCCAAGTTCCCACTAGCCAAGTATTTTCTACCATAGTTTTTACATTTACATCTGCTGGTTCTAATAACGAACAAATTCGTGAAACTTCCTATTTACAAACCCTCCTTGTTTTAGCCAACTTAATTTGCCATGATCTTAATTATACAAAGTTAAACATGGCAGTTGGATTAAAAATTAACAACACGAATAAGTAAACTCTCTTATTCGTTCCATTAATTTTTTTATTTTTGATTTTTTAAAATTATTTTGTATTTAACATTTTTTTTATTTTTTAATTAAATTATTTTACGTTTGAAATGCACTTTAAAATCAAATTTTAAAACAAATAGAAAAATATAAAAAAAAGAAAATGTTTTCACAATTTTTAAAATTGTTTTTAATAATTTTTTTTCAAATTTTTTTATAAATATTTTATTTTCAAGTTCATGTAAATAATGTCAAGATACAAATAAAGTGTATTTAAATAAAAATATTATTTAAAAATAATTTTTTTTTAAAAAATTCAATTTGAAATAATCAAGATAAGTGAGAAGCAGCGCCCTTATCTTTGTCTAGCCCACTATATTTTTTTTTTTTTGGATTTTTTTTTAATCTTTAATAATTTTATTTTAATGAAAAATTTATTAGAAAATTATTTTTTAGATGTTTATATCCTAATTAGTCTATAAGATATTCTTATATTCTAATAACTCCTATTATTTGAACATTTGATCTACCAAATCTTAATTATCATATTTAAGATATTTTATGAACATTTTTACCTTTACAAATATTTTTTTGAATGGTTAGTAATTTGGTAATATGAACATTAATATTTTAAAATGTGAATATTTACATTAATTGTGTGAACATTCATATCACGGAACATTCACACTGTAAATGTAAATATTATGAGGAGTATTTGCGTAATTATGTCACCTATAGGACTTAATGGAATATAAAAAAATAATGTGGACTAAATGAAATATAAGTAGATGAAAAAGAGTTTATGAAAAAATATCCTATTTTAAAATTATGTCAATTTTATTTTTTATTTTTCTCATCTGTCTTAACAAAAACGAATTTAAAAAGTACATTTTTTTTCAAAAAATTTCAGAAAAAAAATACTAAAGATCAGTTCTAGTTGACTAAAGAAAAAAAAAATTACTTATTTTAATTTATTTTTTTTTATCTTTTTTGATTTTTTTAAAAAACAATTATCACTCTATTTGGTTTCAGTTTTCAGAATTTAATTTTTAAAAAATTTTATTTTTTTGTTTTTTGTATTTTTTTATTTTTACTGAATGTTTTTAATATTTTAAATAATTTTTTTAATTTTTAGATTCACCTAATATAAATACACTTAATATTTGTGAAAACAAATCTTTAAAAAATTCACTAAATATAAAAAATATGAAAATTCAGTATATTTTTCATATTTTTATATATTTATTAATTTGTTAAAATATTTTTTTATAAATATTTTACTATTTAGGTACATTTAAGTAAGGTGCAACTAAAAATATAAAAAAATTATTTAAAATTTTAAAATATTTACTAAAAATAGAAAAATATAAAAAATAAAAAATAAAAAATTCAATTATTAAAAAATTAAATTCAAAAAATTAAAACCAAATACATTGTATAATTTTTTAATTTATCTTGTCGAAGTGAATTTAAAAATTTAAGGTTGCATTTAGTAGAGTTTTAGAATTATGATTTGAGAATATAGTTGTATTTTGAGTTTGTGAGTTTTAAAATTGTGATTTAAATGCGAAAAATTTGTTTGGTTATGAGTTTTAAAAAGAGTTTGAATTGAGTTACAAAGTGGGTGTTTTGAAAAGTATTTTAAAAAGTGAGTATGAAATTAATTTTTTAAAATTGTAATCAAACAACACATTCAAATTAAAAGGTATAATTAAATTTCAAAAATTCTACCAAACAAAGCCTAAATTTTTTTAAAAACTTAAAAAAAATATTCATTACAAGCAAAAATAAGTTAAAACAAACCAAAAATTAAAAAATAAAAAATAAAAAAAAAGGATTGATTAAGACCTTTTTAAAACTCTCACCTCCACCATTGGGAGAGAAGAAAAAATAAAAAAAAATGAAAAAAATAAACATTGACCAATCAAAATCAAATGAGTCGAAGGCAGTGGAGGAGAAAGTGGTCTTAAACATTTTTGTTAAAAGAAAAAAAAAGCACCTCCCGAAACACGCCGATGACTTTAATAAATCCTCAAGTTGATCTGATTTCTCTGGAAGCATCCTAACCCTCCACTCTCTTTGGCACTCTAAACTAAACCCTTTTTAGAACTCTCCAGAACCCAAGCAAGCCCCTCATCTCTCTCTCTCTCTCTCTCTCTCCATAAAAACCCCTCTCCTCAATCCCCTTCCCCTAATCTCAAATAAACTCCATAGCAATTATACATTCTCCCTCTACATATTCGTTTCACTTTCTTTCTCTAGATTCAAGTCGAAATGGATGAGGATTTCGATATTCCAGCGGCCCAGGGGATGAACGAGGATTTCGACATGCCGGACCAGAGTCCGATCATGAAGGTCGGTGAAGAGAAGGAGATCGGGAAGCTAGGGTTGAAGAAGAAGCTTCTCAAGGAAGGTGAAGGTTGGGACACTCCTGAAAATGGCGATGAAGTTGAAGGTAATAATGTCCTAATTATTCAGTCAATCTTATCAATCGTTTTTTTATGTAGTGTTCGTTTTGATCTGATTTTTTTGGATTAATTGGATTGAACTTCAGTTCATTACACTGGGACTTTACTTGATGGTACTCAGTTCGATTCGAGTCGTGATAGGGGAACACCGTTTAAGTTCACTCTTGGCCAGGGTAAGGGTTTCGTAATCTTTTCCTTATTTGATAGATCGTTATTGATTGTTTTACGTACTTTTAATTCAAGTATTACATCATCTGATTCGTACTGTTCGTATTTAATTAGCTAAAGAAATAAATAATCTTTATGCTAATCGTGATAAATGTAGTTCACGATCTTGTTCAATAACTTCGCAGAAGAAAAAAGCAAAAGATATTGTGAGAAAGGATGTACGGTTGCTTGACTTGTCAAGAAACACCCCATCATTAAATTAGTCAAGTATTGATGAAACCTAGTGATTTCTTTCGTTATCTGGAAAGTCAAAGGTGTTAAGGATTGGTTCCTCTTTTGCTCAAAAGTTCCTTGTTTGCCTCTATTTTATTTATTTTGTTCAATGTTTCTTCAATATGGTGCTTGTTTGTAGGAGAAACTTGGCATTGTAGGGCCATCTCCAATCCTTCATCAAATCTGTTATCAAATTCAACTTTGATGAAAAATGCCTAAAAAGTTAGCTCCAACCCTTTCAACAAATTGATATCAAATAGGGAGAGAGTTAATTTTTTCATCAAATCGAGGGGGCTTTATCCTTTCATTAAATTTGTAGGTGACTGTTGGACCGGATGTCGTCCCGGACAAGGGCTGCAAATGAACCGAGTTGTTCATGAACAGGCTCGGCTTGGCTCGCCAAGCTCGGCTTGTTTATCTTTATTTAAATTATATAATAAATATATTATTTATATATTAAATAATATATAAATATATATAAATAATAATATAAATACATTATTTATATATTAAACAATATAAATAATATTTTTTATTTAAATATTTTTATTTAAATAATATTAAAAAAAATTATCGAGCTGAGCTTGAGTTTCATTAATGTTAACGAGCCAAGCCGAGCCGAGCTCGAGCTTAATACACGAGCTCGATAAATAAACGAACCAAGTTCGAGCTCAACAAAGCTTGGCTTAGTTCGGTTCGGTTTGTTTGCAACCCTAGACAACTGGTTTTGGGAAGAATTTGATGCAAATTTACTCTAGACTGGATGTCCGGCTGGATAATTGCCTTGATTTGATGAAACCATTGGAATGCATCGATGAAAAATTTGATGAAGCGTTGAAGATGCTCTAAGAAGCTTGTAGTGGTCAATCTTGTTAGGTATGAAAAATGTTTTCTGCCTTTAATGGGTGGAAATTGTTTTTATTCCCAAATCAGTTAATGTCCTTGTTGAAAGCGTGTTCCATTGACTTTTAGGTCGTACCAATCACAAAAACAAAGTGCAAATTATGTGTTTTTTTGGCCGAGGAGCATATTAACTGAAGTATTACTGCTCCTGGGAAAGTAGGACATTTTTATTTCTATTCACTTTGCTCTGTTTTGACAATTTTGGGAAGAATGACTGAATGCTGCCTGGGCTTGTGGCTTCTTCTTTATTTGTTTATTTTTTTACCTTGCCAAGGAATTCTAGAAGGTTAAAATATGTTGGGTGTGTTTGGTTTGTGTTTGTAGAGTAGTTTTTGAGATAAAAAGTACGAAAATTTGTTTGGTTTGCATTTTTTCAAAAATGGTTTTGAAAAATTGTTTTGGGGGAGAGAGTAAAAAAAAAAGTGATTGATTTGATGTGTATGAGAGAGAGAGTGATTTTGGAAAGTAGGTAATTAAACAAAATTTTGAGATTTTTTTGGAAAAAATTTGTTTGGTTTGATTACTCTTTAAAATTTGTTTGTAGAGAATTTTTTCCAAAAATTTTTCTGAGAAACAAACCAAACAAAGTTGTGTTCTTATGATTGGCTGGAAGTTTTGTTGGCATAAATTTTGCCCCTTTGAATGAGAACGGTAGTTCGTGACATCCATGTTTTTGCTATGACAGGACAAGTAATAAAGGGTTGGGATGAGGGTATCAAGACAATGAAGAAAGGAGAAAATGCTATTTTCACTATTCCATCTGAGCTTGCCTATGGTGAATCTGGTTCTCCTCCAACCATTCCCCCCAATGCTACTCTCCAATTTGATGTAGAATTGCTATCCTGGGTCAGTGTCAAAGACATTTGCAAGGATGGTGGAATATTCAAGAAGATACTTGCTGAAGGAGAGAAATGGGAGAATCCCAAGGACCTTGATGAAGTTTTAGGTATACTAAAATGTTCATACTCCTTGCAGATTCTACATAAAAGTATGTATGTGGTAACTTGAATTGAACATTCCATTATGTGCCTCTGCATTCTATTGCAGTGAAGTTCGAAGTGCATCTTGAAGATGGAACCTTGGTTGCAAAATCAGATGAAGTAGAGTTCACTGTTCAAGAGGGTAAAGCTTCACGAGATCTTGTTAATGGTTTTTACTGTTGCATAATTAGATTTTCTGTGTTCTAGTCTTGAGTTTCTCATATATAATCATTTGTAAACAGGATATTTCTGCCCTGCTCTTGCTAAAGCTGTGAAAACAATGAAGAAAGGAGAAAAAGTTCTTCTAACTGTGAAGCCGCAATGTATGTTGATCATTAGCTGATAATTTACTTGTTGCCTATTTTTGTTTACTTTCGAAGCATTCTTTTTTCAGTTGTGCATTTTCTTATAGTTCTTCCATTCATTTGGTTTCAGATGGGTTTGGAGAGAAGGGCAAGCCAGCATCCAGTGATGGTGGTGCAGTGCCCCCTAATGCAACAATGCAGATAACTCTTGAGTTGTTGTCATGGAAGACTGTGACCGAAGTAACAGATGATAGGAAGGTTATTAAGAAGACCTTGAAGGAAGGGGAGGGATATGAGCGCCCGAATGAAGGAGCTGTTGTCCAATGTTAGTCTCGAAGTTCTTCTATGCCCGCACCTCCTTTTTTCCTTCAGTTTGCTTTTGTTTGACAACCTTGGCATTTGGATACATGGTTACTTGTCAAATTTATGTGGTGTCTGTTTTTGTTTGTACATTTTGGCAGTGAAATTGATTGGTAAGTTGCAAGATGGTACCATCTTCCTTAAGAAGGGTCAAGATAATGATGAAGATCTGTTTGAGTTCAAGACAGATGAAGGTACTGTCACTTATCCGAGCCTTGATTTAAATGTTGCGAGTTTGTCATTTCTCATTTGTGACATTATTTGGGTGTTTTGATGGCTTAAACAGAGCAAGTCATTGTTGGGCTTGACAGAGCGGTGATGAAAATGAAGAAGGGTGAGGTGGCATTACTGTCTATTGCACCAGAATATGCCTTTGGTACATCTGAGTCAAAGCAAGAATTGGCTGTGGTCCCTCCGAACTCAACTGTTTACTATGAAGTCGAGCTGGTTTCCTTTGTCAAGGTTACTCAATTACATTTGCCTACAGGTTTGCATTTTAATGTACACTATGTGTTTGGGGAACATGTTTGAGTACTTCATGTTTGTTCTTCAGGAGAAGGAATCCTGGGATATGAACACCCAAGAAAAAATTGAAGCTGCTGGGAAGAAGAAGGAAGAAGGAAATGCTTTGTTCAAGGCGGGTAAATATGCCAAGGCCTCAAAGAGATATGAGAAGGTATTCTTTTAGAGGAACATCACAATGTGAACTGGCTGTCTATCTGTATTTTGCAACACCATGCTGAACTTTCCGTTGTTGTGCAGGCTGCAAAATACATCGAGCATGATACTTCCTTCAGTGATGGGGAGAAGAAACAGGCCAAAGCATTGAAGGTTACTTGCAATCTCAATGATGCGGCTTGTAAGCTAAAATTAAAGGAGTACAAGCAGGCAGAGAAGCTGTGTACGAAGGTACAGTATGTTTTGAGAATGAAGCACTTATTAATAATTATAATCTGTTAGTTGAGCAAAAAAATTAGAACTTCACTATTTTCATCCCCTTGCTATGTTTTGGAGTTCTTCTGTCATCTGCTGTGCTGAATTTACGTGGAATATTATTGTATGCAGGTATTAGAGCTTGAGAGTAGTAATGTGAAGGCACTCTACAGGAGGGCCCAAGCCTATATCAACATTGCTGATTTGGATTTGGCAGAGTTTGATATCAAGAAAGCTCTTGAAATTGACCCGAACAACAGGTACTTGCTGTGCCTGTATTAGTTATTTCATGTGGGAATTTTGTGCCGTGGTTTTCAATTTCTGTGAAGTAGCACTATTTTTATTGAATTTGTTGGTTTTGCTTTTTGGTCAGGGATGTGAAATTAGAATACAAAACATTGAAGGAGAAGATGAAGGAATACAATAAAAAGGATGCCAAGTTTTACGGCAACATGTTTGCAAAGTTGAATAAGTTGGAGCCAGTGGAGCCTAATGTAAACCTCTAGCAATGTGCAGTTCGCGAAATTGAGTTAATATGGTTTTACTTTTTTTGTAATATAAATTAAAAAAATGCTAGTGTTTTCATGTTATCTGCTTCTTCTGATGGTGTGTTCCTCACTTTGCAGAAAGGAGCTACCAAGGAATCAGAGCCTATGAGCATAGACAGCAAAGCATAAGTGGAGTTCGAATTGGACTGCTAAACCCGTTTTATGGTTTCTATTCCATTGTTTTTTGTTTTTTCGTTTCTGTTTTTTTAAGATCTATTTGTAGGACTAGTTGGTCTTTTGGCAGACATAAAAGAGTTTGTAATGGATTTCTTGTGGGGATTTGCTTATTGGATTTCCATATGGGAATTTGCTGACATAATTGTGGTGCGAAACCATGGCTAATGAATGAGAATTGGTCAAATGCATTTTGAGTGTGATTGTGTTATGGTTCCATCAATGAGTGGTGGTTCCATTTATGCTAGATCCTACCTTTCGAGTTTTTGTTTCAGTGAATTGATTGAATCGTGTCTTGTTTGTGTTCTGTTTTGTCATTGGAATTGCTCATGAATGAGAATTGGTCAAACGCATTTTGAGTGATTGTGTTACGGTTCCATCAATGAGTGGTTCCATTTATGCAAATCCTACCTTTTGAGTTTTTGTTTCAGTGAATTGATTTAACCGTGTGTTGTTTGTGTTCTGTTTTGTCATTGGAATAGGTTCAAACTGCTATGCCTCCATCTGTGGGGTGAGTTTTTATTTTTCTTTACTCAGCTGCCATAGGTGTAGGAGTAGGTGTGTAACGGGCGTGTGCCTCACCCTGCTGTGGAATATTGGTAGAGTACCTTTGAGGCCCCTCTCGTCTACCATGGCAGTTAGTCTGAAGGGCTTTGTAAATGAGCTCCTTTATTATTTATTTACTTATTTTTGGGCTTGTAAAAATATTTGTTGTAAATGTGCTCAGGAAAATTGGTTTTTTAGTCGGTTCTGTAGGTAATCTGTGTTTACTAGAGTGAGCTCTGGATAGGTCCTCGGATTTCCTAGGTTTGCAAAGGATGGGTATGGTGCCACTAATTTGTGCAATAAATAATGCATTCCTGTTGCAAATACAGCTGCAAGGGCTAGGGGAATGCAGCTGGTGCCGTCACATGCCTCTGTCAATGCTAACAAAATGAAAAATGCTCTATAGATTGATAAAATTAAATTTTAAAAATACATGCATGCATCAAAGCAAGTGTTTTTGGGGCACTTTTTGTTTGCTTTCAAATTGAAGTTTCGTTTTTGTTTTAACTAAAAATAATAAACTATACCATTATTCACATGACAGCAACTCATGAGTTTTATATTCAAGAAAATTGTCTAATGCATGTATTCATATCATATAGACATATTTATGTAACTTGATGGTTTGAAAGTTTTCCTTTCATATACAGTTTCTCAATGCCTAACCCTGTACTTCGATTGTAAAACCTGCTCAAGTGTACATCTCTCTCCATGGTTTTATGAAGTTACCTTAAAATATGGAGTAGTTTTCTCCAAGATACCTGGTGCTCGTTGACAATCTGCATCAAAGATCACGGCAAACTCACAATCTTTGACATAATCACAACTCATTGCAGATTTAAGATTCCTTGCTGTAAAAGGGTTTACTTGAGCTCACTAAATTAATTGGGCCTAGTCGAAGCCCAATCGGAAAGCACAAAAATTGGTGAGCTTGGAGAAGTGAATTTTATTGAACGAGCCCACAAAAAGCCAAAAAATTAAGCTGATGAAGACCCATCAAACATATATCTTTAAAGAGTCTCCAATAGGTGCACCCAAGGAGGGCATCCAAGGAGGCTCAGATTATATGGGCATTCGAGGAGGTTAACCATTGTTTTCAGAAGAGATGAAACTCTCAGAGGAGATTCTCCGAGGTATTGACTTAGTCTTGAAAGGGTTTGAAAGCACGAACCTAGAGATCTATTTGAGCTCAGACTCGAAAGAATTTGGATCTACGAACCTGGAGATCCGAAACACTTGGCTTCGAACAGATTCGAACGCAATCGAGAAGTCGCTCTGTTAATGAGTCCCAAAACACTTGCGAGCTCAAAACTTTTCGAGATCTACACACCAGAACCATGGGCGTGATGGAGTCTGAACAAAGGACTCGATCCCGAGAACGATGAGTGGAGATAAATTTACTCTTTGATTAAACTAGCTTATACCCGAGTCAAGGTGGCATGATCTAAGGGGTCCTTGAGACTCGGCAATATTTGTGGCAGAGCGTTCTCTTGAACTACCCCTGACCCGTCTACGGTAGGGCATCCTCTGGGACTACCCCTCACCCTTTGGGATGATTGAGGATCATTGGTTAGGTGTGGCTAAGAAGAAAGGTTCATTGAGAGGTTGATCTCCTCTTCAGGGCTTTCTTCATCTTTGGAGAGGTCACCTCCTTGGACAAGGTAGTTAGAGGGAATATTCCCTATGTGCCTTGCCTTGCATATGAGTTCCATCCTTCATCATGAGATGCTTATAAATAGCACGCACCCATAGTTTTACAATGGATGGATTTTTTGAGAGATAACTCTTGGGAGAGAACTAATTCCTTAATCCATTATCTACCTTGAGAGTGAAAGTGAGAGATCCATGCGAGCGCCTTGCCATTATCCTCTCTAACTGATTTGCCTTTTTCTTCACCTAATCTCTTATCTCTATCATCTCTTTGCTATTGTGTTCCTAGTTGTGACTGTTAAAGAATCTAAGCCTCTCTTCATTTCTAGAGAATTGGCCCAACATGGAGCCCAAACGCAAGCAAGCTACTGTCACCTGCTGTGGCTTGAAAATGTGTTACTATTGTAGCGTGTTGTGCCACCGCTGCATTTGTTGCGGCCTGGGCATGGCCCAACATTGCCTGACCGCACGCCGCTTCTGCTACTATTATGTTGTCGTGAACTACGTATTGGTCATGCCCTACTTCTCCTTAGGTTACAGCTTGGTTATGGTTTACTTCTCCATGGGCTTGATTTTGCACTCCAGTTGGAACAATTCCACCTCTAGTTTGATTTCTATTTGACGCTCGGTGCAAAAGTATAACTCATCACCAACATGGTGTGAGTGAAATTTTGAAGAGTGGTAAGAATCTCTCGTTGGGTATTTTGAAGTCCTTGAATGGCTTCGAGCAAGAATGGCTGATCTTGAGCCATGGTCCTCTTATCACCACCATTCGAGGATCCTTGTTGGTGAACTTCTTCTTCTCCCGCCATCTTCACCGAAGTTATGTGAGTTCCGGATCTCGTTGAGACCATTAACCAATCCGCCTCCCCAGTGGAGTCGCCAAAATGTATGAGAGGGTTCAAGAATGTTGTTGGAGAAATGGAGCTTTGCCTGTACCTAATTTTGTTCCACTAACGGTACATGCTACCCACGTACCGAGCGGGTCTCCTTTGGCTTTGACGCCGAGTTTGCAAGCCCAACCCGGTATAGCCGTGGCGTGCAATGGACTTTATGAGACCCAATTCAATGTCCCATCACCAAATGACATGTCCATAGGTGCCGATGGCCAATATCGTCATGTGTCTTCGTTGATGGTGAATTCTCAACACCCAAATGGCCAAGTCACTCCAGGCTCAGTCTTCAGGTCTACAAGCCAAGTTCTAGGAATACCACCATCAAGTTCTATCCCTCAACAATGTCACTCTTGCTGATGTGCAAGCCATGTTCGATCTCGAATGGGGCAAGAGGACTTTACCCTCTTTGCTCGATCTGGATGTCAAGCCACCATACCCTATCGAGATATTGAGTTATCCATACCTAGAGAGGTACACAGTGTCGAAGTTCATCAAATTTGATGGCAAATAAGGAAATGCTAGCGAACATATTGTTCGGTTCATCGAGACTTTGGGAATTCATGGTTCAAATCATGTCCTTCGACTGAGAGAATTCTCTAAGTCTTTCACTGATCGAGCATGTAGTTGGTATGTTAACTTGGCCCCAAACTCTATCTGAAGTTGGGAAGAGATGGTCAACAAATTCCATGCCAAATTCTTTTTGGTGGCTAAGAAAGTGACCACATTTACACTGTGTAAAGAAAAGCAGCGACAGGGTGAAAACATTCTTGAATATGTGAAGAGGTTCCAAGACAAAGCCGTGGACTGTCATAAGGTTGTGGAGGAAAACTACTTGGTCCAAATCTGTGTTGAAGGGACATTGAACGGGTACAAAATGCTTCTTGTTAATCACAAGCTACCCACCTTCTCGGCACTAATTGAAGCATCTCGGAACATCAACATACCTCAGTCTTAGGAGCTCGGGTTTGAGACTAGTTACAAAACCAACTTCATGTCATCCCGAGGACCTTCTGTCACTGTGGCTTCCGCGTCTTCTACCCGAAAGTCGCAGGGAGAGGGATTCAGAGGGCATAAGAGGAAAAGTTGCGAAGATGACACTCATTTTCCGTGTAGTATTGAGGAGGTGAAGGCCTTAATCAACGAATGGATGGTAGGCAGGGAATTGAAGTTACCTCATATCGAAGAGCTTTTACCGAGGAAGGATCGCGAGGGCCTTAATTATTGTGTTTTCCACTAATCATTAGCATATCCTACAGAAAAATGTCGGATGCTTAAGAAGATCTTTAGAAAGAAAGCTGAAATAGATGAGCTAAGTTTCAAAGAACAAGGGCTCCAGGGTATCTTAGAAAACGTGGCTATGATGGTGTATGACAGTCCAATGATTGAAACAATTGAAAACTCAGAGGATGAGGAGCACTCCCTCGAAGACGTCCTCTAGTCGAAGGATGAGAAGCACTTCCTCGAAGACACCCTTGAGCCAGAAGATGAAAAGCACTCCTCTGAAGATGCCTTGAGCCAGAAGGCGAGAAAGTTTTTATATTAAACCTTCCATTTAGAAGAAAGAGTTGGTTACGAAACATCCTTCAATCCAAGAAGAAAACATCATGTTTGTATGCCATCCTACTTCAATGACACTGAGGAGTTGGTCAACTATGAGCCACCGAGGATAGAGAAATATCCAAATCACTATGCGAAGACTCTCCAAGATAATATCAAGTTCAAACAGTTCTTTAATCAGCTTGGGCTTTCTAGGGAAGCGAGAACTGAAATTACCAAGTCCATTATCAACATTGCCGAGGCACACCATGAGGGAGGTGTAACAGTTGACGGATCTATTCCAAGGAATGCAAGGGAGCGGACTAGCGGTATAATCTTTTCTAAGGTAGACTGAAAGTACCCTTTTCCACACAACCGACCACTCTATGCGACCGCTTACATCAATGAGGTTAAGTTCAAAAGGGTTTTGCTAGATAGCAGAGCTTCCATCAGTATCATGACTTGGGTAACTTTAGAGAAGGCTAAGATTTTTGAAAACCACATCGTTAAACAACTAAAAGTCATCACAAGTTTCGAAGAAGAAGAAAGAGTTACTCTGGGGTATGTGATAGTTGATTTGGCCGTAAGTGTGATTCGCTCAGCCACTAGGTTTCATATCATTGAATCTGAGACAAACTATCATATTATCTTAGGGAGGACTTGGATGCACAAGTATGGTGCCGTGCCTTCAAGTTATCATCAATGTGTCAAAGCTAAGTGGGGAAATGAGACAGTGACGATAGAGGCTTCAGAAAGACTTTTTGGTACATGCAAGCCTTGTTACTCGAATGACAAACCAAAGGTCGAGTCAAGCAAACAACTGTTGTCCCAGCTTTCCTCTTTGCCCAAAAGTTCTTTTGTCCCTTGAAAGAAGATGAAGGTCCGAGAGGAAGACAAGATGGTGTACTACTTATGAAGGTGTGAGGGGGGTCAGTTTCTCCTATAGCTGGCCTCAAGTTGAAGGAAGAACCTCCGATGAGGGCATAGAGGTAAAGCCCCAAATGGCTCCAAAAATGTATGCAAGATGGATTGAAGCTGCAACTCGAGCAACTGGTGAAAGCTTTCCAAATGACCTTGCAACTCTAGAGGCAAATGTCAACATTCTGTAGAAGAAGCTTATCTATGACATTTACAATTTGTATTTACTGCATTGCCCAAGAAGTTTTATCTTTCTTTCTTATGTGATGAAGAAATTTATTTCTTTTAGATTGTGTATCTTCATTACAAGTTTATTTTCGCTATATTGTGTATCTTCATTGTGTTATGTTGCTTGAGATTGTTTTCAATTATTTGTCGCCCCTTGAAGAAGAAATAGGAGTAGTAGACTCAGTTGCTAGCCAGAAAGGACCTTTCTTGCCAAAGAAAGGAGTGTGCTTCCACTCGGACTTCCAAGGGACAGCTCTTGCTTCTACATGCACTTCCAAGAGACAACCCTTGTTTCCATCAATGCGAGTTCGAGAATCCTTCTTGTTGAAGTAGAGTGTGTACGTCCACTCAAACTTTCGAAGAACAAACCTTATTTCCATCAGTGCAAACTTCGAGGATCTTTCTTACTGAAGTAGTGTGTGTGCTCCCACTTGAACTTTTGAAGAACATCCCTCAAAACTTGGTTGCCTGTCAGAAAGGATCTTTCTTGCCGAAATAGGGTGTGTGCTACTATTTAGACTCCTAAGGGACAACCTTGCTTCCATTCGGAATTTTGAGGGACAACCTTTACTTTCATTAGTATGGGTTTTGAGGAACCCGCGGTCGTGGAGTTCTTATAAGAATTCATTCACCTAAAATTGCAAAACCGACAAATAAAGACGAGCAATAGCAATTTTAGATCATGATTCAGGCATTATCACTTAAGCTACAACAATTCTATACTTCCGAGCAAGTTCATGAAAATGCAATAATCAAGGTTTTGTCTATTCGGGTCGATTCCTCTAAAGCCAACACAAAGCAACAATGTTCAAATAACGGGCAGCAATGCATGTAGCCTATACGAGTAATGAGTGAGAAAGATGCTGGACGGACCAACGACGTGTTGAGGGGGCGGCGTGGTCGGCGCTGACAGTGTCACTGCTAACTCTTACGAAGGCCGATAGCGGTGGCTTGTGTGGTCTTTGGTGATTGCAACAACAGGCAATAAGCAAACAGCGATGGGCTCTGGTGTTGCAGAAGTAAAGCCTCGTTGAAGGAGATGGTGTCTGGGTCTTGTCTCTATTTAGAGAGAGAATATGCTGAAATAGCGGTTTTGGCAATTAAAAAAAAAAAAAAGAGTAAGGACTAGAGTTTTGTCCTTGGTGTGAAGCAAAAAGTATGATGCTAATGGTTTCTCAAATAGCCGAATGATATATATATATATATATATATAAATAAGTAAAGAACCTGATTCTAGTGGTATCAAATATTTGAGAAAGAAATAAAAAATGGGTTCTTTAATTTTCTTTGACTTGGAGTAAGGGAATAGATTTTCAAATGTTCTAGAAGATTTGGAATTATTCAGGCTTTTTAAAGAATTAAACGATCAAGATTGGCTTTTGAAGAAAAACGTGGCACAAATATAAAGTGTGTTGGCCAAACATGGCATAGAGACCACCAATATATATATATATATCCTTCTTATCTTTATTTGTCAATCTTATCCAAAAGCCGTTTGAAGACAAAATATTCATGAGAGTGTGATGCGAAGCATGGCCGAGGAAGTGAAAATATGCATGTCCAAGAAATTCAAAATTTCCCATATATACACGGGGCAAAATGCAATAGGGGTTAACTTGAACCCACTAAATTAATTGGGCCCAGTCGAACCCAATCGGAAAGCCTAAAAATTGGTGAGCTTGAAGAAATTATTGCCAAATGGGCCCAAGTGAATTCTATTGAATGGGCTCATAAGAAAGCCAAAAAAATTGGGCCAAGGAAGACCCATCAAGCATATATCTCTAAAGAGAGTCTAACAGGCCCATCCAAGGAAGCTCAGATCATACGGGTGATCGAGGAGGTTAACCATTGTTTTTAGAAGAGATGAAACCCTTAGAGAAGATTCAATCTTTAAGGTATTGGCTTAGTCTTGAAAGGGTTCGGAACCAGGAACTTAAAGACTTATTTGAGCTTGGACGCGAAAGGATTTGGATCTACGAACCTAGAGATCCGAAGCACTTGGCTTCGAACGGATTTAAACGCAATCTAGAAGTCGCTTCGTTAATGAGTCCCAGAACACTTGTGGGCTCGAAGCTTTCTGGGATCTACACACCAGAACCATGGGCATGATAGAGTCCGAACAAAGGACCCAATCCCGAGGACAGTGAGTGGAGATAAAGTTACTCTTAGATTAAACTAGCCTATACCCAGGTTGAGGTGGCACGATCTAGGGGGTTCTTGAAACTCGGCAATATTTGCAGTAGGGCATTTTCTTGAACTACTTCGGACCCTTCTGCGACAGGGCATCCTTTGGGACTACCCCTGACCCTTTGGGATGATTGGATATCATTGTTTAGGTGTGGCTAAGAAAAAAGATTTGCCGAGAGGTTGATCTCCTCTTCGGGGTTTTCCTTATCCTCAAAGAGATCACCTTTTTAGACAAGGTAGTTAGAAGGAATATCCCCTATGTGCCTTGTACATGGGCTCCATCCTACATCATGAGGTGCCTATAAATAACACTCACCCATAACTTTACAAGGGATGGATTTTTAGAGAGATAACTCTTGGGAGAGAACTGATTTCCCTTTCTCCATTATCCACCTTGAAAGTAAAAGTGAAAAATCCATGGGAGAGCTTTGTTATTATCCTCTTTAACTATTTTGCCTTCTTCTTCACCCAATCTCTTATCTCCATTATCTCTTTGCTATTGTGTTCCTAGTTGTGATTGTTAAAGAATCTAAGTCTCTCCTCATTTCTAGAGAATTCAGATTCTCCGACAACAGTCTTAAACCCTCTTATATACCTGCTTTATAGCCTGTCCGTATAAAATGGCGTCTATACAATATGCGCACACCCCTTTGTTGCCATTTCTGCACGTCTGCTTGGGATGAGGACTTGAACATCCAAATCATCAGGATCATCCAAAACTTGTACAAGTATTCTCTCCCTTGGCCAGTTCTGAATACAAAATGATGCAATGGATTGTTGGTACACCTGTGGTCCACCACAATGAAAGTATTTAGAGTTAGTGAAAAATAAACTTAGATCCGTACGGCCTGCAAGTTGCCCACATAGAGAGAGAGAACAAAACTGCACAACTTGCATATCAAAAAAAAAAATAAAGAGCGAAGCAGAATAATATGTTCAAATAATTCAGGGTAACTATAATTGGTTTCTGCTACTCCAGTTCTACCCAGTAAATTCTCTTGTAGAGGAGAGCATAAAAATATACAGAAGGTATATATATATATATATATGTATATGAACATTTTTAATTGCAGATAATGTTGGCAGCACACCTATGAACGATGGCATAAATTAAAAATGCTTCAGCATTGACAAAGGTTACAGTACATGCCACCAAAAAATACATACACATACGCACTACAATTGGTATGTGCCTCTGCCATCAAAAAATACAAACACATAAGATGAACAACATAAGTTGTACAGAAAATGAAGATTGTCATATTTCTGTTGCTTAACATTCCTCTCTTTGTCCCTTTTTTTAGAAGAAAAAGCATACGCACAACTTTAAGTCCAGACTTTTATGTTTACGTTGGCAACATTTATTTAGTGGGGAATCTGGTGGCGATGATATGAAGAAGCAGAGCATTCACTTATGCTAAACTAAAACACATTAACAGCCATGCCAAATTATGTAGCGTTCTTAAATAGAACCAACTCCATCATAATTCTAGGGCACAGTATGAATAATGCTCACTATAATAATAAGCTCATTGAACCACAGCTTACACTAAAAAATTTCAAGTTTGCACTACTAATGAGCAGACCATTTATTGATCAAAGTAAGTTAAAGTTTCAGAATTCAAAACAAATCTTCATCAAATTACAACTAAAGATTACCATAATCTGCAGCTAAACCAATTCAAAACCTACATCTTACCTTCTTTTCATTACACATTGGGATTTGCACCAGCACCATCAGATAATCCTTCACGTTCATATTTTCCCAATCCCTCGAATACTCCACTATGGCAATGGGCTTCAATCTCCGAAATTTAATCCACAAACATCCAAGCACCAATAATGCTCGATCAAATGACTGAACCAAGAACAAAACAACACACACATTCGCAAAACTCTGCAACGCGGGGGCCAAATACCTAGCCTTGATTTCGAGCCAATTCGCATAAAGGCCCTGTTTGGTACAGCTTATTTCCAACTTATTTCAGCTTTTAGCTTAATTTAAACTATTTTGATCTGTTTGGTTCAGCTTAATAATACAGCTTATAGCTTTTTGTAAGTCAAAAATCAACTTATTCTTTGAGTGGGGGAGGAGAAGCTTAATTTATAAGTCAAAAATCAGTTTATGTTCACAGTTATAAGCTATAAGCTGTTAGACTATAAATTATAATCACTTTCCCACAGCTCTACCAAACGGGGCCAAACAACCTCCACAAAATCCACCACCGTCGGCGAACTAAAATGCCATCCCTTGAAGTAAACTAAGAGCTCGAAGACAAGCAACAACACTACAACGATCAGGAATTGCGCAGTAGAGCCTCGACTCCATCCTGCGCGACGGAGGCGGCGGCGGGAGGTGCAGAGGAAGGAGATGAAGGCATTAATGAAATAGGCGAATTGGTGGAAGCGCAAGATGCAGAGCTAGGAGAGCTGACGGGCGGTCCGAGCTCGGTCTTTGTCGATGATCCGATCGGCAGTGGGGCTCTGGATATCGACGATTAGGAAGCTAGGGTTTTCGGAATTGTTTTAGAGAAAGAGGAGGTCATCGTCGTGGTTCTCTCTCTGCTTGTTCACCATTCTTGAAATTCATAGTTTGGCGGTCCAGACATAAATACAAAAACAACCACAATGACAACAAAAACGACAATGCCTTTTAAGATCTACAAATGTTTTTTTTTTTTAGGAAAATCCCCCTACTCTCCCACAGGTCCAAGTCAAGACTCGCACAGCGGGGGAGCATTGAACCCACACCAAGTACTTGTTAGACAACTTGAGGTCGAACCTCCTAACGAACTGTGCTACGCCCAGGAGATTAGCCCATGGAGGATTTGAACTCATGACCCGGGGGGCTTAATCCCCATGTTCTTACCACAAGGCCACCCATCCCTGGGTTATTTATTTATTTATTTATTTTCCCCCTCTTACTCTCTTCATGAACCGGAGGGAGGAGGATTGAAGTTTTGCTAAATTTAGAAAAGAGTTATGCTACCCGTAATAAATTATCAAATCTCTCATATAGGTGTGAGACCACACAAATCACATGTGTATAGGTCTCACACTCATGTAAGAGGTTTAGTAATTTATTTGATAATTTGTTTGGGATCTATAACATTTCTCTTTAGAAAAACATCACTAGAGCATGAGAGAAAAAGAGTGAAGGCATGTGTGGCAGCAAAAAAGAGTTTTGAAACTTGCGAGACTGAGACATCATGCATGGACCTGTTGATTATGGGCAGTCATGTTTTTCAACCCAAACTAGGACGAGGCATGTGGTTTCCTCATACCGGAGTCAAATTGTGTTTGATTTATAAATTTAGATAAAATTTAAAAAAAAAATTCATATAAATTTACATATATTTTTCTTTTATATTTTTAAATTCATGATTCAAACATAACTAAATGGGCCATTGGATTAAAAGAGTGTGGACTAGGCGATTGAGTTAAAAAGTGTGGTTTGGATGGGGTTTGGATGGGGTAGATATAAAATGAGTGGGCTTGTTGCTGAGAATTGGGCTGGTAGACTATTGGGTTGGGCTTTGTTTCTTCATTAATTGTTTTGATATGTTTGTTAAGGGAATTCTATTTAAACTCAAAATATATTTCAATACACTCAATTCAAATTTATAAATTTTAATTCATATTTTATCTCAATATGAATTTATTAATAAGAACAATACATATTAAATCTTAAAATATTTTTTTTTTTCTCATAGTACATCATAATCAATAATTTCTATTCAAATCTTTGTATTTTCTTCTCCAAGATATCAAAATTATTTCTTCTTTTTCTTTTTCCACCCTCCAAGACTCCAATACATTCTACTAAAACCCACCATTATATATACATTCTACTAAAACCCACCATTATATGCATATACACTTAAAAGTATAATATTTGTAAAACAATACATAAAAATATTCAATAAAAGAGGTAAGCTAAGCAAAGTGGCAGAGCGTTTCCCATTCAAGTATTTTGTCAAATACATAGTAATCAACAAATTGGGATAACAAAACAACAATAGAAGAAAGAGATAACAAAAAATAGAGGCAAGGCAATATGCTATGCTTAAACCTTAAACTCTAAACATTCTCTTCATGATCTAAGAGGGAGGAGGGTTGAAGTTCTATTAATATAGAAAAACATCACCAGAGAGAGAGAGAATGAAGGTTGTGTGCGGTGGCAAAAAAGAGTTTCGAAACTCACGAGATTGAGACTTCACGCGCGGACCCGCTGATTACGAGCAGTTGTGTTTTTCAACCCAAACCCGGACGAGGCACGTGGTTTCCTTATACTGAAGTCATATTAAATTGTGTTTGATTCATAAATTTAGCTAAAATTTTGAAAAGAAAAAAAAATTAAGTGAATAAAATATAGTCACATTTCATTTACTTTTATACATATATATATTAAATTCATGAACCAAATATAACTGGATGAGCCATTGGATTAAAAGAGTGTGGACTAGGCTATTGTAGCCCAAGTGGCCTTTAGAGAGGACACAACAGTGTCGAGAGTTTTGGGGTCTCGGGCTTAAAAATATGTTAAGATGCATCGACTTGCATGTAATCTCTTTAACATCTTACCTTGTCCAAAGTGTTTTTTTTTTTTTTTCACGTGGTTTCCTTATACTGAAGTCATATTAAATTGTGTTTGATTCATAAATTTAGCTAAAATTTTGAAAAGAAAAAAAAATTAAGTGAATAAAATATAGTCACATTTCATTCATATATATATATATATATATTAAATTCATGAACCAAATATAACTTAGATGAGCCATTGGATTAAAAGAGTGTGGACTAGGCTATTGTAGCCCAAGTGGTCTTTAGAGAGGACACAACAGTGTCGAGAGTTTTGGGGTCTCGGGCTTAAAAATATGTTAAGATGCATCGACTTGCATGTAATCTCTTTAACATCTTACCTTGTCCAAAGTGTTTTTTTTTTTTTTTCATTATGTTATTTTATTTTATTTGCTGAGCCTTATTTAGAGTTTTTTTTATTTTTTATATTTTTTATTAACAACCATAAGCAATTGCCAAAATGTTGATCATTCTCAGCAATTTTAATTCCATTTTTAAACCCCAAATGAGGTGAAAATTGAAAGCAAACCCTTTTTCACCTCTAACGCAATTTTACTCCATTCTCCGCAATATTGTACATTACACAATACGCGACAATGATGAGCTAGCAAAATAAAAAAAATAAAAAAATAAAAGACCAACAATGATGAAAAACACCAAGTATCATACTGTTTCCATGGTCCTAAACACAGTGAAACAATAATTTCCTGCACTTTGTTTTGCTTACCTTTATAGTTCTGTTTTCACCATTTATTCATTTCTCTCTCTCCAGACAATAATTTTTTAATTTTATTTTAACATTCACCTATGATATACTTGAACTGTAGTAAAACTTTTACTCAAATGGTTGGTGAATAACTTTCAATAATTTCATTGAAGAAATCTAGCACTCCAGTTCTACTAGTGGTATAAAGGTTTTACCCTCTGTACTCTAGCCAATTTTTAGAAGCATCCTAAGCCTAAATATAGAACAATCATGCAACTATATATATACATGTGTGATTGAAACTGTCAATATAAAAATTATCAATGAGAGTGAAAAGAGGGTAATCTAGATGTTGAGTAGTGGGAACAATTGATTTCACCTTTTAGTCCTTACAATATCTACAACTGAAGGTAAAAATTTTAAAAAATATATACATAATGTTATTGTGATTTTTCTGGGGTATCAAAATTATATAACAAAATTCGTGTTTTATATAATAGAATAGATGTCTCTAACTAGTCATCACCTAGCTAAGGACCAATTCGTAATTTCCTTTTTTTTTTCATCCAAGTGAGTGTTATGGGTTCACTAGTGTGACTCAAGGCATTTTAGTGTTTTATGTTGGGCTTAATATTTGAAGTTAGCAAGTATTTTTGACTTTGTAGTCTTAATCATTTCCATGCTTTGCTTTCTTTTATTATTATTATTATTATTATTATTATTTTGAGATTGAATCTCCACAGTAATAGCAAGAAAATCTGAACCTAATTAGAAATTGAGTAACAAAATGTATATTATTTGAATATTAATGGATCAACAGTGTAGTTGATGAAATAATAATTGACTTCATTTCATGCAAATCGCTTTCTTAATAATGCTCTCTGCAGAAAATTGTGGTTAGGGCCATTTGCTTTACAATTAAAGTGAAATGATGCTAACCTCCTTTTGCGTTAATTATGATTATTATTATTATTATTATTTGGGTGCACAAGACAAGGATGTTGCACTTCTAGTTGAATATCTCGTGATTCTTGCATTTCGTTTATCAATATTGTATTAAAATACAGTGCTGACAACACTGCATTCATATTAGATGGACTCTTATAATACTATCACTACAAGAATTTTCACTTTTGGCGATTAAATTTTAAGTCGCCAAAAGTTAATTTTTAGTCGCCGAATGGTTTTGGCGACTTAATTATTTGGTCGCAAAAGTAGTCGCCAAAAAATTGTTTTAGTCGCCAAATGTATACAATTCCCAACTAAAATTTTAGTCGCCAAAACGTTGGACATTAAATTAAATTAGACCCTTTTCGGAGACCAAACTTTTAGTCGCCTAAATTCCAGCATTTTTAGCTACTAAAATTTTAGTCAGCAAAGAGTTCTTCTTTTGGCTACTAAAAATTTAGTCACCGAAAGTTCCACATCTTTGGCTACTAAATTTTTAGTCGGCAAAGAGTTCCTCTTTTGATTACTAAATATTTAGTCGCTTAAAGTTCTACATTTTTTACTACTAAAATTTTAGTCGACAAAAGTGTTTTTATTCTTTAGTTTTTTGTTTTTAGCTATGAAATATTTTAGTTGCCAAATGTTTGATTTTCTTTTGGTTACTAAACTTTTAGTCACCAAATGTCTACATTTGCTTTTTGGGCAAATA